TGGCAATGAGTGTTATGATTTTGTGCTTTATCAGAAGCAGGTAAATGAAGTCTGTCTGTGCCTGCACTGACAGTAGGGAGCCTTTCTGTTCTGCAGCAGCTCAGCTAGCAGTGGAGTGTGGCTGTTCCAGTGCAAAACAGTGCACATCAGGAGGCTCATTTTAAAATCTCTCTTGAGCAACAAATAGATGTAGTTCCTTCAACCAGTTGTATCTAGCCTGGTCTGCACCTCAGAAACGTGGTAGGTCAGAGGATGGAAAAAGCCGTGGCATACTACCATTGGTGTTGTTCGGTGTAGCAGGTACTTCCTGGCAGACCTCCAGCTGGCCTTCCTCCCGCCGGCGCACAGCTCTAACACAGGCAGGCCTGGAGGCTTAGCTGGCCCATCTCTTCAGCTCTAATGTGGCATTCAGCAATTCATATGGTCTGATAAATATTTTATTTTCCATAAGTGGTATTATAGAAGGGAATGAAGATGACCAGAACTCTAAAAATTAAGGGTTCAGCTCAATAAAGAAGAGAGAAGTGGGTGGGTGAAACCAGAGAGAAAATAGGTAGAGGGCACAAGCCAGGTGATGGTTTGAGGGGGAGGGAAGGTTGTTTGGAGTTATGGCTAGAGGGAAAGTGTAAAGACTTGTCATTGAAGCAGTGGCTTTTTTTATTTATTTTTAAATTACGTCCTTGAGTTGTAGAAGAATTGCAGGCACTTCAATTACATAATGACCTCTAAAATGAAGATGAATAGAAATGCTGAATGTGTAGAACACGTTTCTAGCTGTCAGCCAGATTTTCTGCCCGAAACCCATTATCAGCTATCCCAGAGAGTAAAGCTGAAGCCTGCTGTGTAGAACTCTTAATTTTTTTAAAATCCGTATTGCATATAAGAATACAGAAGAGAAAGCTTGTTTCATACCTTTATTGGGGTGCTCCAGCCTCTGCTGCCATAGCAGATTTTGGACCCCCTCATGTGTGTCATGCCAATACAGCAGCTGCAGGGAAGGGTCAGGCTGCAGCTGTGTGCAGGAGACTTGTTCCTCCTCTTCCTCCTCTGGGATGCCTAGCTAGGTGACACAAGAAGCAGCATGCGGGTACCAGGGCAGCTTGCTGATAAAGGCAACATCGTCACTGGAAATACGGGGTGAGCAAGATCCTGTCCAGTCTGCTGATAAAACAATGAAATGGCTTGGTTTAAAAAGGCGCAGATACGCTTGCTTCCCCACCTGCTGTAACTGCAACCAGAGTGGTGGAACAGGAAAACAGTTGGTCTCTTGAAAATAGGCGTTCTGAATGAGTGCTGGAGACTCTAATGTAATCATCTTAATAGTTTGTTTCCTGCTTCTCTGTGGTAACATGCAGCAGTGTATGCCTGTGCTTTTTCTAGTGGGAAGATTTCTGCCTCCTTGAAAGACAGAAAAGCTGAGGGAGAGCTATTAAATTCTGAAAGCTTAGATCAATTAAAGCTAGCACTATATAATGGCACTTGTAACTAGCTTATCCATCATGCAAATAGTAAGATTTTAGTGTTTGGTTTCAGTCAGACTTGGCATTATTGTTAGCTTTTGCTCACATTCATTAAATGAATTTTAGAAGGTAGGTCTGTTGCAGGCTGTTTTGGACAAGTCACTTGCTTTCTTACTGTTCCCTGTCACTTTGTTCCTAGTTCCATTTTCAGTGTAAACCATCATAATCCAGTGTTGCTTCTGGAAGGGGTAGTTCTGCTCTACCCCCTATCTGCAGCTGCCTGATTTGCTCTTTTCATCTTCTATCTGCTGGCAGCGTGTTCGTGCAGGGAACTGGTTCAGCAGTGTAGCTAAAAATCTGGCTTTTCTCTTGGTTAGTTAGTAACTGGATTAATTTCCCACTCTCATTCCACTCTGCAGTTGTGTTGCTACTGGGTTTAGTAGGAATTGCAGCAGAAACTTTGAGAAGGGAGAGAACTGTCTGGTTCTTCCCCAAGGGCCCAGTTCTGCTTGATGCATATTTATACACTTGCCAGATTAGATCTTTGTTACACTCCTGGTAGGATCTTCCAGAAATACTTAGAAATGTGTAGCTTCTTTGGGAATAAGACAGTACAAAACAGCTTAATGAATTGTTGTAGAGTTGTTAAAAGGTCAATTATTGCATGTTCATTCTTTATTTTTCCTTGTCTACCAAATAATTAATTTTCTCTGTTAAACGAGCATCCCTCTATGATGCTCACATGAGCTGTGGTCACCCACTGTGAGATGTTTATTGTTCAATTTATCCTTTTATTCCAATGTATCAGGCTCTAGAATTTTTTTCACGTCTGAGTATGTCTGTACAAGTGTGGATTACTTTATTTCACAGGCACGAAAAAAAGTTATAAATCAATCAACTGTGCATTTAAGCTGGTCTGGATTTCTCATATGATTTTAGAAAGTGAGCACCTGTATTGCAGAATATTCAGAAACAAAATATCATATGGGTGCATCCCTATGCCCACTGATCCCACTGGATCACAGCAGCACAGTGGTTTGGGGAGCAATGGGGAGCATGGCACCTTTTTTGGATCAGCAGGTTGTGCGGAAAATTTCATTTTGGGAGGAGGAAGACTTGCTGTGTGTGCAAAAATGTGGAAAGATTGTGGAACAACAAAGGCATCAGTTGGCTTTATGAGGTGATTAAGTGGTTGATACAAGCCTCAACTCTAATGGACTTCTCGGATACCTTTAGAAACATCATTCAAAGTTAAGGCCCCTGCATTTGGCTTGTCCTGGATGGCATGTAGTTCATAAATTCTTCAGTTGTGAAGACAATGCCAAACTCTTACACAGGGGGCTGCATAATAAAGTCGAAAATTCTAGATATTGTTTGGGTAAATAAAGGCTTTGAGACTGAAATAGTGGAAATGGCAACTCTCCTTTCCTGGCCCTTGACCCGTGGAGTTGCTGTATAAGGTCTGACCTTGTGGGCTGTATTGAAAAGCTGTTATTTTTCTTGCGTTTTTGGGGATAGTGATATATTTATTTTGTTATTTATGTTTAGTCTACCATATGTTTTGGAAGTTGGCACAGAACTGCTGATGGCCTGGTGTTCCTAGTGAGGGAGAATGCTTAAGTTGTGTTCCTTTGTATCTGTCACTTCCCTTTGGGGTTTCTCTAGGGCCCCTGCTATTTCAATGTGATATGCAATATATTCCTGAGAACTGATGTAATTGTCTTTAACCTATAACAGATTTTTTTTTTTCAGTTTCTTTTCCATTGTTCATGCAAATAACACAAATAATGAAAGGCACTATTTTTCAGAGCTAGGTATTTTTATTTATTTTTTCAAAGGCTTATCATAAGGTGATTTTGTGGCCTTAACTATAAGAAGTTTTTGGTATGTGATTAGTTGGAAGCTTTAAATGTAGAACAGCTTAATTCTAGAGTTACTGGGAAAAACGCCAGCCATAGGTTTGGGAAAGTCTGAGTAATAAAATCGCAAAGCTGGTTCATCGCTCAAATATGTTATTATTTCAGCTGTGTCTGCCCACTGCATGCTCTTACAGGCTGAAGATGTCAATAGGCTTTTACATTAATAGCTATTTTAGGTCTCTAATCTTAAAAGGCAGCACAAGTGAAAGAACCTTAGATTACTCTAAAATATCAAAGTTAACACATCAAGTGTTCTTTCTTACTCTAGTTTTAAAAATCTTCCACCCTTAATGTTTGGCTTATTAAAAATACAGAAGTTCATAGGTTAGAAAAACTAATCCTGAAATTAAATCACAGATCTCTAGACTCCAAACCAGCTGGGGGAGGTGGCATTTTCAGGAATGTAACAAATAGAAGCAGCAAGGAATTGAGTGTACACAGGAAATTAGGAGTTATTAAATATAGACAACTGATAAGAGGATGCAAAAGTATTGCTCAAAACTCAGAGGAAAGGATTTCCTTTCCCTTGGAAAACATGTTAACACTTTAATAATAATACTAAATAAGGGCAGTAATGTCAATAATTCCAGAAATGCAGAAGAATTTAGTTCCATTATTGAAATAAAGCTGTGTGCTCTATTGACAGCATATAGATATGATAACTAAGAAAAAAAGTTAAATTGTAACTGTGGATAACACTTTTGAATCTAGAGTACAAATAACTTGAGGAATTTTCAGTTTCTCATATTGATCTTGAAGAACGATCAGGAAAGCCTCAGAGCACTTAATGATGTGCTAGTTTTTATGAACAGTAAATGGTATGTGGTACCCAGACACTGGTTTGTCTGGTGTTGATTACAGACTTTTGGAAAGATTATCATCAAGCTGATACAGGAACTGACTTGGTGCAACAGAAATTCAATTCTAATAATTGGTATGAAGAACAGTACAGTCTATGAATAAAGAGGCTAAACAGTTGATCCTTTGTAGCTTAAATTGAGCACGTTCAACTTTGTCAAAAGCTATTTCTGTTCAGTAGTGTTCATATTGTACAGAGAAGTCCTGCAGGCTGTTAAAACTGTAAAATTGGATTGTCTTCAGAAAAAGTGCATTTGACTAAATGTCAAAATTGCATATTGGTTGCTACAACGTAACAGCTGAATAGTGATATGAGTTTGTCAGAGAGGAGTACCCCGGCATCTCTTTGAATGCCAGATTCTTCTTTCTTTTTCTCGTGCTGACAAGATGTTTCAGTGGGCTCCCTGCACCCTCAGCAGAGTTGCATACTTGTGCAGAATTCTGGATCCTTGTGGCAAGAAAGATTTCTGTTACAATATGTATTACTCCTAGTATGTTAGTAAACTAAAACTTAGTTGTTTTGGTTAACAACATTCTCCTATGTAACTGAACTTCCAAAACATATCTTTGAGGTGAGGAAGATGTGACTGTAGACATCCTATTTCAGGGAAATGTTTTTTTTGAGGGGTACACACACAAAAAACAAGTAGAAAACTTTCCAGATATTCGTGTATTGTACTCCTTACCTCCCTCATGCTTCCCAGATATGAAAGGACAATGAAGCAGAAAGTTTTATTTCTCATCTGATGATTTTGTTTTTCAGATTCAACACCAGACTCATGTGAGGTTGCCACATCTTGCCTAATGGAATTGTTCAGACTTTCACTGCTGTAAAAGAGAGGAGATTTGGATTCTTCATAGTTGGCACTGACAGACTACCTGCTCACTGTAAGTCAGCTGTCTTTATATCATGGATGTGGTGCCCTCCCCGTAGGAAAGCAGAAGTCAAATTGATGTGGAATCTGTTTGAGCCTAGAGGGGACATGATGTAAGAAGCTTCTTGCTACGAAGAATCCCTCCATCAATGGAGAATGGGAGACAACTGTAGTATAGCTGGCATAGAGGCAGCACTTCAGTCCTCTTTTGGGTTGATACGTTGTGCTTAATTGTATGTCTAGAATAATTAAAAGATGTAGCAAGGAAATGCAATAGGTAAACCTGAAGTTGTGCTAATGTAACCTTACATTCTGCTGGGATGAGGGTAATTGTTCAAAAATACCTCAGAGCTGTGTTACTTTTGACGTAACTGGAAAAAAATACGACTTGTTGGGTTGTAGTGTTTGGGTTCCCTTTAAGATTAGGCTGTTGGGTTTCCACTGGCCACCTAGGAGGACAGGAAGGGACTCTCTCACTCATTGTGCTGTTAGACTCTTTGTGGTTTGTCTCATTCTGCAGTGCTCTATAGACTGCAGCCAAAGATAAGACTTTGGCAAGGCTGAGATTTTGTTACCGGTAATATTTTAAAACTTCTTGTGTTGCTGGTGGGTGTGTTTTTTGCCTGAATGTTTGCTAACTGTGAGATCATTAGGAAGAAATTCTGTCCCAAGTCATATTGCCAGTCACGGCACCTGCATCGTTTTACCCTCTCTGATAGCATGTAAATGTACTCACAGTGCATCCTGAATACTTTCCAGTTTCTTTTTTTGGGTCCGGGGACATTGATGATGCACTTAAACTTCCTGGTCAGCAGCTTGTGCTGCATTTTAACTTTTAAAAAATATATTCTTGGCCTTTTTAACCTGTAGTCGTTAAATTAGTATTATAGGGCACATAGGACAAGTAGGATATTGTAGGACTTACATGCGTATAACTTAAGTATTTGCTTGCAGTTTTGGAAGGCTGGATGTTCTCAACTGTGCAGTACTTAGTCCTGCGATTGTATATAAAATAATGTTTTGAAATTAGTGTTAACAGGCTTACATCTTTTACCTGTAAAGCAGAATATATCACTGCTGTTCAGCACTAATTTCCTGTTATTCTTACATCTGTGTTTGTGTAGGCTTAGTCATTGCTTTAAGCTTGGTGAATTCTTTTAGGCTAAATCTCTTAGTTTCTCTTGATCATGTAAAGGGTATTGCTAGTTGTATATTGCCAAGTAGGACAGAATTTCCTCTGCAAAGCTGAAGATGAGTCATGAAAACTGAAGTATGTAGCAGGCACAAGGGTTGAATCTTTGCTAGTTGTGGCTGCTGTAAAGTACATTAACATCCATGTGTGTTTTCAGCTTCTACAAATTAGAAGCCAAAAAGGAGTCAGAGGAGGAGGGCAAGGAGTGAAAAATACTTCTACTTGCTTTCTTTGTGTTGATAGGTACTGCTATACTGCTCTGCTGCAGTGGGCTGTCTGGGAGGTGCCCAGTTGCTATAGGATCCTTTTGCCTATGCAGATAGAGTTTATCAAATGCTATTACAAAATAGTTAGCTGATTATGTTGGGAAGTTTTATGTTTAAGTAGCAAAGCAATGTTTCGTGATTGTCTAATGACTTTCAAAAAGTTTCAATATACTTGGCAGAAATGAATAAAAAGCTGCCCGATCCCAGTGTGCAACATGTGGCTATTTTATTTACAGAGGGGGTTCCTGTGGAACAGGTATGTTCATGGCTTCACATGGAGTCATGCAGGAAACCTGTGAGAAAGACAGGGCAAGACCTCATTTTGCTTATCCTAATCTTTTCAGTGCAAGAATGTTCTCCATTGAAAGACAGTTTTGATAGCTGCTAAAAGGAAGGGCGTTAGATCTACAGGGATACAAAACTAACAGAGTTTGAACAGTTACAAAAAGGGAATTTTTCATTGCTCCTCTAATAGCTGTAGCAGAAGGCTGCAATAAGAGCTAGTATTTATCTTAACAATAATATTTTTGTTTTCATACTGACGTAGTACCATCCTGTTGGCATATGTTCTTGGAACACATTAATTTGTAACACCCTTTTTTTGAGATATATTGAATCTCACATTAACACATGGTGCAATTTCACTGAATAGCTGTCTTTGAAAAAGGAAAGAAACAGTACTTGGTGCTCAAAGTGAATTCATATTAAAGTGAAGTTATCTGAAATTCATTTTTACAAAGTTGAAAACTGAATCTATGGCTGTTCATAGAAGCAGTTTCCGTATGTTACTGAGCCTCTAGTGGAATTCTTTACTGCTCTCTTGAATGTAGGAAAATATAGTGAAGGAAATGATCCTCATTCCTCAATCTTCATAAATTTTATTAAAGAAACATTAAAGAATCCCTGTGTATTCCTTTGGTATTTTCTTTCTGTTTTGCCAAAATAAAATTCTAAGCTTAGTTCTTCAGTACAAATATTATGTACACTGATATTTTTTTTTTTTTTTTTTTTATTTCAATTGTTTTCCTCTCACTGGGACCACTGACATAGTAAATCTTGAGAGGTATTTAATTTTACTTTGTAGGCTGTATATTGACAGAAATGTTAAGAATATTGGCAGCTCGACATTGTCTGCTGGCTCTACTGTCTTGTATGAGAAACTCTTTGTACAGAACTAAATTCTGTGCTGAAATATGTCATTTAGTACTTCCTTAATAAAATTAGGTCAAATCTTAGTGTACATATATGTGTAAATGCAAAAATAACCAATGTGTACATCCCTAGATCTGTGCATAAGCTCATGTCTATAAATTTAAGCTACTTCTCTGAATTCCAAAGTGTTTCTTGTGGATTAAGGTATGAATATTTGCACTAATTTGTTCAGTGGATAGTAGCACAGGTAGATATTCCTGCAAAAAAGAGTGAAGGGGAGAAAAAGGATGTTTGTTAACTTATTAGTTGCTATTGAAACAAATTAATATTGTGTTATTGTTTAAGACTAAAATAAACTATACATCTGAGCATCATGGATGGCATCTGTGGAAGGGAGGGGTGAAGAAGCTGGATAACTTTACCTCATAAGAGAATAATTTGTAATTTTTAGTTTTTGACATAGGTACTTTGGTCTTAAACACATAATACTTGATCAGACAGAGGAGTTACTTGAAACATCTGGACTGCTGATTTAGTATGATTACAGAATAAAGTCATTTTTAGAATCTGTGTCGGTAGAAATTAAATGTTTGTGAAATTATGAAAAGGTGGATCAAATGTACAGACATAGCTTCATTAATACAGCATTGTAAATCAGTCATAGTTTAAATGCATTTTTTAGGGCAAGTTGTCACTTGTAAATGCTAAACATGTGTCAGGCTGATGTTGGCCTTGAAGTGGTGTGAAAAGGTTGTGGACTCCTCGATCCTGTGGTTTTGAGGCCATAGGCCATTCCCCCTGCAGGAGGGACACAGTATGTCTCAGACATGAAAATTCAGATCTTTTTAATAGTTACTGCTTCCTACCTTGGGAGAGACTATGAATTTAAGTGCCTAAAATAGGTAATTAGCATAGCCAAAAGTAACTTCTTGGAGAAGATGGTGAATCTTGTTTCTGTTATTTGAACTTTTGGTTCCTTATGCTTGTATGCAGAGAAAAGCAGCAACTGCTGTGTATTTCATCATTCCAGAGACAGTCAGGTTCGTCGCCCTGCATTTTAGCAACAGGAACACATTGCCTTCCTACTAGCATTACAAGGAGGACTTCATAAAGAGAGATTCTGCGTTTTGCTTCCAGAAAGTGATACAGATAGTCCAGATTCTTACCACTGAAAATGTTGTCATTGCACTCTCACTGAGCAGAAGCACATACTTTTCATCTGGAGGTCGTGAACTCAGTCGGTCCTTTGTCAATCAGTTTTGTGCTTGGAGAAGCCATGAAAACTTGCCCCTCATTTTAAGAGTAGCTCTAAGATACCATCTCTGTCTTTCAGTGCATGTTTGAACATGTACTTCCATCAGCCGTACCACTTTTGGAAAGACTGGGTAACTTTTTACATAAATAAAGACAGGAAAATCTGGTAAGTTGCTTATTTCTTCACCATGTGAAGAATAAAAACATTGCTTCAGATGTATGAGAAGGCAGGTGATTTGTCACATTTCAGGGGTGGCCTTAGAAACTGATTTATGAGGAGCAACTGTTGTATAGCTTCAGGGCCCCTTGCTTTCAAGTTGTGCAACAGCAAAGGTTTTGCATGCAAGCTAATTGCATGAAAAGAGAAGAGAAGGTTGTAGTCCCTGGTGGACTCCTTTAGTAGTATGATGATGAGGATGTGGGACTAAATCTCTCATCCTGGCATGTGTAATAGTGAATGAGGTATGTTTTTGGCCTCTAGTGACTCCTTTGCTCACTCACTGACTCTTAGTTTAAATGCCTTACACTCCCATTCGCTTTTGGCAAAAGGTCATAGCCTCATGTTAATTCATAGGGCAAGTCCTTGTAGCAGTAGATATTTGAAGAAGAAATTAAAATTGCATTGTTCCTTTAGGTTTGAAGGAGCTTCCTCACTAAGCAGAAAAAATATTATAGTTATTAAAGTAGGTACTTTTCAAAGAGAAATAAAGATTACTTTAAAGTAGGCTGGGTAAAATGTTAACAGTGTAATTTTTTTAAAGCCATCAGTGTAAAGTTCACAATCAGCGTGCTTCTGTAGTAATGTGTATTAATCTTGCTTTATCTTCACATGTTGATCCAAGCATGTAATCTGTTGCAAATTTTTTTTGTTGCAAAGCATATATGAGGGATGAAAAAAGATCAAATCTGAACACAGATAATTATCAATAGTGATTAATAAACAGAAATGTATTTATGAAAATGTAATATTAGTGATATTTGTTTAATGAGTTTTTTAAACTTACTGACTTTATGCATGTGCCACACGGGAAAGAAAATGTCTACTGTGGAAACACAAAACCATAGCAAGAATTTTTGAGAAGAAAAATATATTTTCCTGTCAGCCAAAGTCATGTTGAAAAAACATTAAGATTCCGGGAGAAAACCAGG